AGAACACAGGACATGTCTTTGATAACACATGATAAAATTCACATAAACTTCACATTGCTTCGAAAGACGCAGAACAAGACGTTTACATCTCACGACATAAAGGCTAATCGACTCACAATTCAACTAGCCTACCTGATGTATATTATATCTACAAACTGAAAACGAATCAGTAGAGCATCCACAATGGCTGCTTTTTAGATTACAGCACCACTCATTCACCAAATAAAACATCACGCCAATCGTGACAAGTACAAATTAGCAAGAAAATTACGTGTTTACGATTTTTGACAAAAATTAGAAAATACGGGCTACATCTATGAAGATCCTTCTTTATGTACAACAGATGGTACGACCAGGAAATCTTTCATCTCCCACTTAGTACATTCAATGGCTTCTTATCAAGTCGAGTGGGTCATAGTCATAAGGCTCGCCAGCTTTCACAAAACGTCCCTTGACGCGCTTCCTAACGTCAGCCCTCACTTTCCGTGAAGCATATCTTATCTTCTTATCGAACCTTCTCACAAAAACACCACATTATCCTTTTTAGCTTTTAAGTATAATTCAAGAATGGAGTACAACTCTCAGGATCGTGTAAGAATTTAAAACACACCACACAACAAAGGATCGATTTTCTAATAATAATAATAATAATAATAATAATAATAATAATAATAATAATTTTTTTCGGCCCAACACCACGAAGATAAATGTTGAAAAGTTCTTCCAGACTCTCTCTACTTACTTGCGTGTTTTTCTTTTCTCTTTGTACCGCAAAACCGCTACATCCCTGATAGCCGATGACAACGGATAGTCGAAACAAGGTACATTGCACAGATGTTCCTCCATTACAAGATCTCCACGCCTGGGCTTATCTAAAGTGTCATCTTCTCCATTCCAGCCCGAAAATGAAAGTGATTGGGTGGGCCCATGAAAGCAAATGTTTTGATCATCAGATTTACAGCTTGTAATGGAGTCAACAGATACTTGATTGCTGTAGGCCGGCTGCACCGTTTCACTCTTTGTACTTGCGGACTGAAAGATTTTTCAGGAAAAAAAAAAGTACTTAAAAAGAAAGTAATACAATTGGATTATATAGGTACTCATTCCAAATCCTAACATTAGATGTGCGATCGTTTGATATGAAATCCAAGTACATAGTAACACCAATTGAAAACAAACTGAAATATGATTAAGCAGAGCAAGAAACTAAAAAACATATCACAATGCAACGTAAATTTATCATGAATCATATACCGTCTCCACTTGTACACACTCAGATTTGCAATCAGTGCCGTGAAAATTTTCAGTTTCAAACAAGCTATCCATCCCACCATTCTTGAAAAATTCTTCTGCATCATCAAAAAGTGCATCATAGTTTTCGAAACTCAAGTCCGTATCAGAGATATTGAGTTCCTGGTAGAGAGTATCATGAGGGGTTCCATAATGTTTTGTTCTCGACGAACATGCCTGATAATTATAAATACAAACCAGTTCTTAATGTTAGGGATAGTCGATACATAAAACTAGATGGACAAATAATTGTAAAACAAAAGAAACAGTAAACTCAATGAGGCAGATAAGTATAGTGCACACACACACACACAATACACACTAAATCATTTCCTTACCTCAATAACCTCATGGTATATACTTTCACCTTCAACACGCTAAAACAGCTTCTCAGGAAAAAATAAAGTGAAAAGATAGAATATCACTCTTACACATGTGCGGACACTTGAGGTCTATGACTGGTTTAGAGAGTACATTAACAGTAATCGTTTGCTATCTCCTTTAGACAGCCACACATTGGTACTGAAGAAAAGATGTAAAATCACAATACGAATCTCCAACTCTCCATGACATTTAACATACATACTGGTTATCGTAACTTCTCGAAGTATTATGGATTACGCAGCGTATATTCTCAAATAAGCGAGGATAGTAACATACCTTCTCCAAACCAGGTCCCCCCAGTCAACCAACAGCAACAGCCTAATGACCATGAATGCAGGGGAATCGGACCTACTACGATATGTTCAAAGAAAATCTCCCTTTTGCAAATTAGAAGCAAGTGAAAAAAACATATTAGTACGTTACTACTAAAAGTAGAATTTTGTAATTTATGCAATAGCGAACTGATGGGAGGAATTCTGGAATCCTTTCTTCCAAGTTTACACCAAGAAATGAAAAAGAAGAAATTTTCTGAAAGAGTTGACGACCAATTTTTTTCTTGGCTAAAAGAAAATGTACTTTTTAGCTCTAAAATTTGTATATCACTCAGACCCAAATTTAATTATTTTACAACCATCATTTTTGGCAACCCAGTTTGAATGAGAGACCTTTTCCCCTACAATGCTGTTGGTCTGCTGAATAACAGCTCCACCTCTGCTCATAACACGTTTATTATTATTAACAAAAGATAATCAGGAATGTACCTTTTGACCAGGAAAATTTAATGATCCATTTTCACGAAATCGCTCGACATTGGGAGCTAACACGTCCATACCAGCATTATCCTCCACGCTGAAATCATTCCACACCAGTTGACATTCATGGGCCCTTTCTTCTCCTTCTTCCACATCCCAACCCGACTTGTCCACCGTAAAAAAGGACCAAATGCTTGAAAATTCATTCACAGTGGGACAACCGGAGTATGAACCGATCGTTCGTGTCTTGTGTTGAGAACCAGAGACCCCATGCCCAGACCAATAGCAGTTTTGGCAAAGTGAGATGTTTTCATCCATGCATCGGGTAATAGCGGGCAGAGATTGGCATTTCCCACACACGAGGGTCCTCGAGTGGCGTTTCGAGAGAGCATTCGCAGAGTGTACGGTTCTATCACAGGATAAACACAGGCAAGCGGCATCGGACGTGCAGTAGACGATGGATCTCTGCTCACGGCAGAAATCACACAGCTGGCCCATTTCCAGCTTCAACTCTGAAAAAAAAAAAAAAAACACCTGAATTGTAGTTATTATTCATTAACAAAAAAGTCTCTGTTCAATTAGTAAAATTTGATTCACAAATCAAGTCCTTATCAGTTAGCATGAAGAGTCGAATCTTACCCTTTGACACACTTTCGAAACATATAACCACAATTGTATCACCAGAAAGTTCAAACAGATAATTAGCAGAGAAACAAGAAAAACAAATCATGTGCAAGATTATACGAGGTACACAAAATTAACACTAATAAAAGCAAAAAAACAAAAAATTGACAACCATCATTACACACATGGATAAAGTTGTACCATAACTAGCCAAACACAAAACAATACTACATATTAACAATCCTGAAGTATCCAGACCGAAACAATTTCCCAAGCGTACGATAAAATCTTTGTCGATTTCAACAAACAATAAATCAAAATCTCTACAGAAATTCAATTCGGAACACAACCCAAGTCAACATATTCAGAAACGAACAAGCAACAAACAGTAAATCGCCATAAATTCAAATTTAGTACAAGCATCTTACACAACCCAAGGGGCCAAGTCATCATCTTCAGAAACGAACAAGCAACGAACAGTAAATCGCCATTAATTCAAATTTAGTACAAGTATCTTACACAACCCAAGTCATCATCTTCAAAACGAACAAGCAACAAATAAATCGCCATAAATTCAAATTTAGTACAAGTATCTTAAACAACCCACCAAGCATCCTTAACAAGAACCGATCCATATTATCACCATCACCAAAACGTAATTAACAAAAAAAAA